ACTTCGCCACCGCCTCCACCAGCGGTACCTCAACATCTCAAACCAACACCACACCCTCCCCAACACCACTATCACCACCACAAGACCCCCATCGCCACGAGCACAGCCAAAGCAAACACACAGAACACACAACCATCGCTGCCAACAACTTCATATCCACACTTCACAACGCACAGAAAACCAAATACTAAGTCACAGATAACCACCGTGGCACCACCACTACCATCGCCCGATCCCCCACCAACACCACGGCACCGCACCCACGCACACAAATCCAACAACCCCGTTCGATAGAAACCACTACAGATCTGCAACCATCAGCAAAAATTAGCATACAACCACCACAACCATCCGATAAATCCAACTCGAAAACTTTTTTAAAAAAAGGAAATACACATCTGCACCGTTTACGAAGATCTAGCCAGAGCAACCTCCGCATCGGCGAGTCCAATTTTAGGTGGCTCATTATTAGGGTCAATCTCAGAAAACGGTGCAGATCTGTATTAGGAATAGGCGATGGATCGATTGGAAAAAGAAGTGGCTCACGGCTTCTGTGAAGTAGCCGACGGAAAACGCCGATGGTTGGATTGAATGACAGATGCGACGGTGACGCAAGACTAACTATCCTTCTACAGCGGTGAAGGTTCTTCACCACCACATCGTGGGCAGATTCGACAGATGGGAGGGAGGGGGAAATGAATTTTAGGGTGAATTTGGGTTATTTTAATTGGGATGATAATTATATAATTAATATTAAATTAAATATAAAATCCTAGTTTTTGAAATGTTGAACTTGTGATTGGATTTGTGAATTTGAAAATCTAATTCCAGGTGTAGGTGTAATTTCCTCTTGAATTATAGTACATTATTATATGTAAAATCGGAAGTCCTAGCATTTCAATTAGTTAAAATTTCAATTATCATCTTGCAATTATATTAGCTTTCCTGTAGTTGAATTTAAATCCGAATTTCCAAGAATCGATCGATGACAGGACTTTCCCTATTCTGCTGTTCAAACTTTCAAGGTTTTTTTTTTTTTAAAACCTTTGATGGTCGAAAGAAAAAACTAAAAATAAAACTACCCACCTAATTTTGGCATTCATTTTTTCGAAAACTCATTTTCAACGACAGATTTCCCCATTAAACAATTTTACATGTAAATCGAAAAATTTTCCTTATTTTTTAATCACGCATTCTAAAAACTATCCCTATTCTAAAATAATTTTTCTTACAAAATTGGATCTCAAACAAGGGCATAATAACATCCATATATCAGTACACAGTAAAGACAAGGAGAGACGATTTTTATCAGCAAGAACAAAAATAATAGTTTAATATTATTACATAAGAATTTGTGCGTGCAGAGGAATGGCCACAAACAAAAGCATCCGATTAGATAAATATCCATGGGAAATCAATCAAACAGGCAAACAGCTACAAAATGACTTGAAAAATGTCACATCCAAATCGTCCATTCGCTTTTACAACATACAGTCTCCTCAGCTTGTCGCCTACAGCTGCAAAAATGCTTCTTCTACCAAAAAATATTGCAAAGAAATATATCCACTCAATGATAGACGGTCCAAATGACTATTTTTTAATATCAACCACCGTTTGTCCGCCAACAGCTTTTGATTAAAGCGAAAGGGGTATGAATCAGACCAGAAAACACGAGGAAAACCCCTAACAAATGCTATGCTCCTTTTGGAACTACTTTTAAACAAGCGTAATGTTAATTTCCACTAATGAAATCGTCCACACGTTAGTAGGATCCCATTGGTGGCATGCCGAATGGTGGCATTGGAGGCATGCCCATTCCACCCATGGGCGGGGGTGGTGCAGCGAACCCTCCTCCCATCCCAGCACCTCCCATACCCGGCATAGGCGGTGCAGGCAAAGCAAGAGGCAGCAACTGGGCATACATATTCTGCAAGAAATAACAAACTAAAATTAGCTCTTCGAAATTTCTAATCAACAAATTTGAGATAACATTCAAAATTTGCATTATTGGGGGCATTGAAGAGATTCAAGCATCAAACAAGAACCAACGCGGAGGTGTAAAATGAATCCGTATGTGTAAGTGAAATATAACAAAAGGAAAGCATAATCGATCCCCAAAGATTGATAGGGTTGGACGGAAGATGCGATGATTGCTGGGATTAACAGTTATTCTGTTATTATTGTCATAAAAAAAAATGTTGTAGTGCCCAAGATGAGTCTGGGGGTGTGAATAATACTTCCCCTATGTCAAATCCTATAGAAAGATACATATCAGATGTGTCTTACGAGTGAAATCCATGATAAAAGTTCAGGTTCCTGGAATATATACCTGCTGTTTAATAATATCCTTCTCCTCATTCTCTTTAGCCTTCTCTTCATTAAGAGACTCAATTTTGCCCTTGATTAATTCATCGACTTTCCCTGTATATTCACGGATGAACTGCAAGAAAGGCAAGATGTGAAACCAACTTGTACATGGAACAGAAGTGCACTCTCTTAAGACAGCTCCAGGTCATGAGAGCAAAGTCAATGCACATGGACCTCAGACATTATACTACAAGTGCATGACCAATCTAGAGAAGAACATAAAAAAGGCGCACACAATTGTTTCTGAGATACAAGTATTAAAAGATCCCCAAAAACACAAATGCACACGAGAGAGAGGGGAGAGGGAGAAGGAGAAGGAATCACCTGCAACAGATATGGGAACGCAAAGTCGATCATATTATTCATCCATGCAAGTTCCAGGGCAACATCTGCTCGAATTAAATCGTAACAAACAAAGAGGCATGATGCAAAGCATTCCTTCTTCCCCTGAAGAGGTACATGAACAGCCATTTAGATATTAATTTACGGCAGTTGACAATTCAGTTAACAATGTTGCTTATATTGAAGTACCCTTGTCAGACAAATTAAATTTTTAAAAACCATGCATTAACCACAAACTCAGAACACACGTGAAAAATGTTAATTTACTGCATTACAACATTCAAACTAAGACACGGTTACCTAGTTTGAAAAACGTAGGTAACATTGCCAACATTTTACTTCGGACATGAGGTAAAAGGATTCAAAGAGTATCCACGGCTCCTTAGATTCGAGTTTCAACAATAGGATGCAACCTTTTCTGATACCCATACACAATTTCCAACTAACAAATTGACTGAAATTTCACCAACTAAAGGAAAGATTATCATCAAGGGAAGAAAATGTTCTTCCATGCCAATCCCAAGCAGTATCTAGACTTGCAATGCAAAATACAGCTTTTAAAATAAGCTCATACATAAACTTCTGTTACAAACAGATTTAACTGCATAGTAGAAACTTTAAAAAAAATAATAATAATAAAATTCAGCTTTCAAAACAACTAAGAACATCCATGGAATTCCTCATAAATAAGAATGTATCTTGAACTAGAAATGTCAAAATTGAATCCAAGATAAGCAGTGACAAAAATATTATAGTTTCCATTATTGTGCACATTTCTTTAGTGAAGATTTAAATGTTAAAAAGAAAAATCTCAAGCTATTACAGCCAAATGATACCTGATCAATGAAGTAAACAAGCAACTCTTCTGCAAGTTCACGATCGCCAGATTGTGAAGCAGTCTCCATTGCGTCTTTGTAGAGGTTATCTTTCTTTGACAGTGCAATGGATTGCTTCCATCTACCGGCCTTTTTATAAATGTAAGCTGCAACACGCCTCATTTCAAGGAGCTCATGTTTCTCAATCTGCTCAAGCCCACATAAATGGCATAAATTAGCCCCAAGATACAAGAACTAGAAAGTAAGGTGAAATAATTCAATTACACTTCACCTTTTGTGCAAGGCCAATCTGATCAAAGTTATCGTGGAAGTCAATTGATTCCCGCAATCTGTCATAATCCTCCTCCTCCACATATATCTCATTAAGAGCTTCATTCACAGCAGACACATTATTACTCTGAACCGCAACCATGTATGGCTTAACAAGACGCAGGTGGCCAGCCTAAATGATGCAAAGGTTAAAAAAAAATCAGCAGAAAATTAATGACTCAAAACCAAGCATTGAGAATTGCGAAAGGAAATAAAACAGCAGTATGAACCTTTCTCATTATGTCCACCACACGTGTGTGATCAACACGAAGGGCAAGGACATTCAGAACATCATTAATGAGTTCAGGGTGCTCTTGCAAATAGAAATGCACTGCCTTGTAATATAGCTCCACATTGGCAACTTTGACAATAATATCTTTGAATTGCATGTGATCCCAGGCTTCTGGAGAATGATTCATGACAGTGGTGGCAGCGTTATCAAACTCATCATACTGAATATACAAATAAGTTAGTTCCTTCCAGTGCTGCTGTTCGTCACATGCTCGGATCAGCTTGGGAATGTTAAGACGGGTAGAGAATAATTTGATATGCTCCATAAGCTTCTCATAACGATATCTAGCATACAAGACACCAAGCTCTGTAAAGATGCCCATATGTGCACGTTCCAATCCTAAACCACTCTCCATAAGAGATATAAGCTCATTAAAGCATCCTCTGTTCTGGTAGAATTCACTGACTTCTTCCAGATCATCAACCTAAACGAATCACATACACGTAGTATATTCAGTGAGTTCTGAACTATCTAATGTCAAAAATGCTCGAGTAAAAATAAACAAGGACCAGAAGTCCACTCCCTTTGCAACTTAAGCAAAGATACAAATTGATCGAGCTATTAACTCTGTAAGAAAGAGTCCTAAAATAACAACTTATACATTGAGGTAATATACCTGTACAATGATATTGAGTCCACATATCTGAGCCAATCGGAACTCTTCAGCATCAACACAAGCAAAACAGACTTCTTTCCATGTCTTTGAGCTATTAGCTTTACGTGCTGCGTCAACAGCACCTTGAAATTGCTTCAACTTGACAAGTGTGCATGCCAATTTGGCCCAGTTAGAGATAAAAGCAAAAATAATCTTAGCTGCCTCATATAGCTCTTCATCATACAAGCGATCGCCAACATTTGGGAGATTGGCAACATTTGGCATGAGAATAAACTCTTCAATCTCACCCAGCCTATCAATCTTAGCATATGCATAAATGAGCTCACTGTCCACCTTGGGCTCCTTTGCTTTCTGCCTAACCATCAGAAGATACTTCACCAGGTCATGATAAACATTTGCTTCCTCCGCAGCATGAATAACCTCCAAGAATTGGGTGGCATCATCAGCACGAATAAATGATTCAATCGCATCGCTCACTAATCCTTCCCTGAGTTGAGCTTTAGCCACCTGACTCCAAACTGCATCTTCTTCAA